TTTATTTCACTTAAGAGTATGGCCTCAATGTGCATCCGCTTAGCTATAAATGTCTCTAGTTTCTCATTCTTTATGGCTGAGTAGTACTCCATTTTATTTTTAAAAACCCCACATCTGGGGCCAGGGATTTAGCTCAGTGGTTCTGGTGCCTGCCTCACAAGCTCAAGGTCCCAAGTTTGATCCCTGGTACAAAAAAAAAAACAAACCACATCTTCTTTATACAGTCTCCAGTTGATGGGCAATTGGGCTGTTTCCAAGTTTTAGCTATTACAAACTGTGCCACTATAAACATGGGTGAGCATATATCACTGTGCTATGATTCTTTTAATAGTTATATGTTTTATGGGACCAGAGATTTAGCTCAGTGGTTCCACTGCCTGCCTCACAAGTGCAAGGTCCCATGTTTGATTCCTGGTACAAAAAAAAAAAAAGACTAAAGAGAAAACAAGATTAGAACAGTGAAGCATAATGGGCAAGCAAATATTATTCAAAAGATAAGCAAGTAAAAAGAGAAATGAAAGAAGGTTGAACAAGAGCAAGAACCATCACCAGGAAGGGTATGGTGATACACTCCTGTAATCTCAGCACTTCAAAGGCTAGGGCAGAAGGAACACGATGAGTTCAAGGCCTGCCTGGACTACATAGCAAGACCCTGTCTCAAAAAAATCAAACCAAAACAAAACAAAAAGATGAGGCTATAAGCAAGAAGGGCATGTTGGCACACACCTGTAATCCCAGCACTTGGGAGGCTGAGGCAGGAGGATTACAAGTTTAAGACTAGCCTGGGCAACTGAGCAACTCAGGGAGACCCTATCACACACACACACACACACACACACAAAGGAGAGGCTGTGAGTGTAGCTCAGTGTGAAACCCCTGTGTTCAATCCCCAGTCAGTACTGGGGAAAAAGAAAAAAGACCAGTTCAAGAGAATTGTGACTCTAAATTGGCCCGTCCTCACGTGTAAGGTCATCATAATGAGGAAAAAAAAAAATGACATGATGCAAGGGTTTTTGTTTTATAAAGCTAAATTCATTCATTTTAAACAACTCTCCTTTATTCTGAAATTATACCTCGCTATTTTTTCTATTAAATATCTTCTCTAAAAGAAAAAAATAGCACATCTTTTCTCTTGTGAAAAGATAGGGGTAGGTATATCTTATAATATTCTTATTGGCAGACTTCTGGGAAGATGGTGGAGTGGTGAGCAGCAGAAAAAGGGCCTCTCTGGGATTTAGTGTCAGGACATTAGAATATAGCAGCATGAGGAGGAGAAGGAGGGAAGTGGGTCCCCGGAACCCATGAAGGATCTGAAGAGAGAACTGAAGTCACAGAAAGAGCCAAGAGAGAGACTTCAATGAAAAGAGGGAGATGGCATGCAGTCCTTTGTCCCAGAGTCCAGACTCACACCATGGGAAGGGTGGGTTGAACCTACAGACCCGTCTTGTCTACTGGCAACCCCAGAGGCCTCCACAGAGAAAGTCACCAGTGGAATCGAACAGTGGGCGCAGAGGACTGCAGTGACAGGTGAGTTATTCAGGTTCAAATGTCACCCAGGAGAGAGTGATTGGCCAGTAGCCATCTTGAAGAGGGGGTCCAACTGAGCTGAGAACCCAAAACAGCTACAGGCCGACTTCATCTAATGGCTCCTGGTGTCACAGAGGGGTGAGTTCAAGTCAGCAGAGGCCAGGGAGTGGAGTTCAAACCTGTAGGAGACACATGGACTCAACAAATCCAGTCCTTTTTCAAGACAGCCCAGCAGCTCTTTCCCTCAATAAAGCTCTGCCTCAGGATGAGGTGGGGGAACAAATCCAGGGGCTGAGGATTTAGCTCAGTAGTTCTGTCGCCTGCCTCTAAAGTGCAAGGTCCTGAGTTCAATTCCCGGTACCAAAAGAAAACAAACAAAAACCAACAAAAAATCCAGTCCCAGTCTGATAGCCAAAAACCAGCCTGAACTTCAGTGGAACTAAAGGCCCAGCCTTGCTAGGATTATGCAGTACCCCACCATAAATCAACAGCTGCCATGCTGAGATGAAACAGCTCAGATCTGGACTGTCTGCCCACACTGTCTACCAGTGACACCAGAGACACACCTTGAACTAGACTTTTTTATCCTCCTTTTCCTTATTTTCTTCTTTTCTTTTCCTCTTTTCTGGTTTTTGTTCTTGTTCTATTTTTTCTTGATTGTTCTTGTTTTTACATGAGTGTGAACATGGTTTCTAGTTTTTTGGTTGTGGTTATTTTCTTCTGTTCTTGTTTTGTTTTTTCTTCTTCTTCTTTCTTTCCTTCCCTCCTGTCTCTGGTTTCCCAAAGTTTGTATGATCTTCCTTTATTCTCCAGCCTTTCTTCTAAACTCTTCTACTTCTCTATTTCCCCCCCAACCCCTTCTAAATCTTCTCCTCTTAGGGTAAAATTGCCACATTGAGGGCTTTATTTATTGCATACAATTTTCTGGTTCATTCTAGATTTTGTTATATAACTACAAATCTAGTTCAGATGGTTAAAGGTGGCAAATTAATAGTTATCACAGTCTGCCATTTTCTAGGCTGTGTTTAATGCTATTGATATTGCTGATTGTACTACTTTAGCCAAGGTGACATAACTGTTCTAATCAGTTGTTCTTCCTAGTAAGCCAAGACTGAGATTGCCTAAGGGTCATTAAAAATACTATAGGCCAGTACCAAAGAACCTGGGCCTGGGCCAAGCAGGGAGAAACTTCTCATCCCCAATAAATTGAAGTGGTAGGATCTTACAACAGACTCAAATCCCAAAAGCCAGCTTGGAAGACACCTCTGAGAAGTAGTCATTTCCTAAGGGTTCTGAATACTGGCAATAAAACTTCTTGCCATAAGCAATCTACACGCATCAATCCAGGATTTAAACTAAAAAAAGAAAGAAAATAAGAAGACACTTAAACAAGATGCACCACTCCCCTCAACTTTCAACTCACCAAAGGCAAACTCAGGGGACAATGAGAGTCTACCTGGACTCTCTGAAATGGTAACAGCAGAAGTAATAAAGCAGGTGACTGAGGCTCTAAAAAAATTCAAAGCAGAAATATTTTCTCAGAAAACTACAGAGAAGGTGGCTAGAATGAAAGACATGCTTAGTGACTCTAAAGCAGATACAGATAAAAAAAAAAAGAGGAACTCAGGAAAATGATAGAAACCATGAACACCCAGAATAGGAAAGAAATGGAATCCATAAACAGATTCAAACAGATATGCAGGAAATTAATAATTTCATTGAAAAAAAAATTCATTGAAAGTAGAATAAGTCGGGCTGGGGATTTAGCTCAGTGGTTCCGCCACCTTCCTCGCAAGCAGAAAGACCTGAGTTCCGTCCCTGTACAAAAAAAAAAAAAAGTAGAATAAGTCAACTTGAGGACAGAATATCAGATATAGAAGACAGGATTGGGTTAGCGATCATGAAAAGAAAAATTTCTTAAAACTAGCAAGGACCATGAGAAATCAATCCAGCAGCTGCTAGATGATGCAAAGAATAACATAAGATTGACTGGAGTCAATGAAAAAGCAGGAGGGCCGGGGATTTAGCTCAGTGGTTCTACTACCTGCCTTGCAAGCACAAGATCCCGAGTCCAATCCCTGGCACCAAAAAAAAGTTAGATGTTTAGGGCCGGGGATTTAGTTCAGTGGTTTTGCCGCCTGCTGCGCAAGCGCAAGCGCAAGGACCCCAGTTGGATCCCCGGTACCAA